AGTGTGTATCGAAAGCTAGGAATAAATATCTGCATTATCACAACAACCATGTCGTCCGATAAATCCAATACAAATTATGAATTACATGTTTAATTTCGTTTAATTTCTTAAATTATTGCGTAATTTTATTGATTTTATAAATTTTCGACCTTTGGCCCGATATTTCGTCAAAAGAAGTGTTTATATAGACGGTATGGTCACCTAGATAAGCGGGGTGTAACCTACATTAACACTTTCTAAATTGGCCATATGTCAATTCCCGAAAATAGAATTCGAAAAAAATAAACTTCGAAAGATAAACCTCAGCCGGACAGACAAACCAGAACTTGTTCACATAAAGTAGCTCCCACCCCTTAACGACAACCACGACCAAGAAGAAGTCAGAACTGGAGTGACGAGAAGTCGAACAACAAAGAAGGAGAAGAGATAAAATAAAATGAACGGGTAATACGGTAGCAGTTGGATTTGAATTACATGGATGTAATGTAGTCGAGTTTGCAGCACGGCTCTTTCTGTCTCCTATCTTTTAAACAGGCCAATTAGATCAACATCATTTTGCAATTAAGGTCCTATCCCCACCACCAGCATTACTATTATTATTTCCACTCACTCGCCATCCATCCTCGCTTATATAACCAGTCGATTGTTGACTGCTGGTGAGTTGACGATGCAGGTGAGGAGACGAATCAATCACTCGATGAGTGGTGGATGATTGACCACCACATCATCACATACATAAGCTCCATGGACGGACAGTTTTAGTCGAGTAGACTTGTTCATCGCCTCTCGTGGTGTCATTTTCTTGGTTGACATGACAAATTCCTCCCATATTGGAATCCTGTTAGACTTGATTAAAGAACAAGTATACTCGTTTCCATCCTACGTACTTATATAGCTTCAAGCATAAATATATTAAATTGACCATCACACAAAACACGACATCCGCAATTATTATTTTTTGCGGGGGCTTGCAAAATGTGTCAAATTAATTAAATACTAATTTGCCAATTAATGATTTGCTCTGCTGAGTGAAGCCATATGCATGCAAATACATTAAATGTGCATACTATACACCACAAGCTAAATATGCAACTGTGTACATATATCACCCACTCGTGAAAAGGAGAGGTTTCATTCATACGAAAGATGGAACAGGCGTGACAGCTCTTACTGGTTTTGTGCATATACCTTGGCAGGTTAACTAGACAATAAAATGGCGTTGGCTTTCATAATAATTGGTTCGTGATTCAAGTTATTGATTTAACGTGTCGAGTTATTATTTGGACTTGGGGCAAAGCTGTAAAATTTAATGAGCAAGAATAAGGAAGACACTGACCTTGAAACAAACAAGCGACAAATTAACAATTCCACTCGCTACTCGAATTATTATGGGCACTTGTATATTATCAAACTGGTCGAAATAAAATAAAATCAATTTATTGGTTACAGATCTACATTTAATTTTATGTCCCCTTCTTTTATTAATGAATATGAAAACTTTTCGAATTTATACTTCAACGAAAATTCATTAGCCTTTTTTATTTCTCACAAATGGTTATGTAACAAATGGCTGATTAGGGTAGAGGTGGTGCAACGAATGAGGTGGGTATTCGATTCATGACTCTAAATTCAGCCAGTTCTTGACACGTATAATTACCTGGCTGATTGAAGTCACCCGTCAAGACGAGAAAAACTTTTAAGGTTGAGCTGCTCCTCCGAAGAAAAGGCCTGTTGTTGTTTTGGTATTTAGGAAGATGGATGATTGGGAATTTGAGACCAAGCCCAAAAGTATCTGTATTTAGACGAGGTAGACATTACTCATGCATAATAAATACGTATGTGTAAGTACACATACATAACAGCGTTCAGTGGTTGCAAAGAGGTACGTATACGTAAAATATTATGCATCTCTCTCTTTTTTATTAGTGTGCATTATACAAATCACAACTTAATTAGTGTACTGAATTCGCGAATGGGTGAGATCATCATTCACTCGCATTGTGATCCTGATTAGGAGACGTGCCTCATTTTCTTCACATGACAGAATGATAATTATTCCTGCAGGAAAGGACTCTTAATTAAATCCGTGTTTAAATTTCTCTTTGTCCTCTAATTAAATTATGGTCATGAATCCGTATGTACGTACGTACGTGTACATAATAATTTGAAGAATGCAATACTGTAAATCAATTGGGCGTTTCAATAACAAATTTATTTCCAAATTGACGATGAGACTGGTCCTTTTCTTCTCCCTCTGTTTAATATGTTGCAGTGAAGAGGAATGACATAAAAAAGTCAAACTTATCAAACTAAGCCACCCAAATCGCTAACCCCTCCTGGGCCAGTTTTATCAATCAGATTTTATTTTATATTCTCGAAATTTACGAGTATTGGTTTCGCAGGTATACAATTTACTGATTCGTGTCCATCTATACGTATACAAAGTCCCACTACACACGGAGGATTAATTTGATTGCTCGCCATTATATGCATACATATTTGTCTGGCTATAAAGATATGTAGGAAGAAGAGATGAAGAAACTGAGTTGGGAAATGCTTTCATGAGACAACAGACGGTTTTCAATTCAAGTAGCTTGTTGTGGTCATTTGGCGTAGTTAATCGAAAAGCAATAAATTCAGCGTAAGAAGAATGTCCTTTCAACAAACTGGTTTTTCTCAATAATAATATAATATTGGATTTCTTCTTGGTCTTGGTCTTCTTGGGGAGGAATAAGGCTTCTTGTTTGCAGTCAGTGTCAGTGCTACCGTATCAGCTCAGAAAAGTCAGCACTTAAAGAACCCAAGAAAAACTGGGAGAGTAAGTGAGATGCTCATTTAACTAGCCTGTCTCCATCCACAATTCACCCTGCCCTGATATATGGGAGCAAAATAATAATAATAGCTATCGTACTTGGAACTCGCTGCGTCTTTCACACACAGACAGAAGCGTACAAATAATGATTCGACTTGGAGATGACAGCCCATCCAACAACCGAGGTGTCTTGGCTTCTGGTCCATAAAAAATGAGCACAAACTGATCAACTAATTATTATAACTGGGCAAGAAGTGCAGACGAGAAGTAACACGGGAGCAGTTTTGTTATTTCCTTTCCAGTTTTGCAGCAGCATTAAGGACAACAAACAACTTGATCGAACATGGGAGTGCGATTTTCCATCTCCTTTCTTCCCAACTGCAATCTATCATCCGAACAAATGCATATTTCATTATCTGATCTTAACCCCTGTCTCTCTGTCTGTCGAGTTGCAGAAAAAGTGAATAATTTCCAAATAAAATATGCTGACTGACTCAAATGCCAACATCTCTATTTTATTGGGACAATCTAAATACACGCAAAAAATATATTTGGTGAATTTCTTTTTGCGCAAAAGTATTTTTTTGCAAGTATTAGCAAAATTTGGACACCCGCCGATGTCATATGGATTATGTATACAACAAAGTTTACATAATGTCCATTCCATGTATTTTTTTGTATGGAGTCGTGAAAACGTGGAATATTTTATTTATTACGAATTTAGACCCCGAGACGTCAAACATGTTTCGCATTTCATTGTGATGTGTGTGACTTGAAACGGCAGCAGATGTCTTAATTGATGTTTAGTCAGTGGTGGTGGTGGTTGTGCGTTGCCTTCCATCATAATCAGTCTTTCCTGACTTGCTGTGAGGTCACAAAAGTCAAGTCAATGCAATAAATGTGTCCATAATATTTACGATAATGACAAACCATTTATAACCTTAATTCATGCAAAAGTGAAACAAAATTTATAGACAGAAATTTAGAATCATAATAAATAAGTAGATAAATCAACTCTGATTTAGTGCCATTTATTAATAACTGAATAATAGTAAATGCTGAATGGTAGTCTAAAGAGAAGGAAAATGTGGGGCATAATATTTTACACGAATTAAAAAAATATTATAATCACCCAACTTTTTTTGCGAATTTAAATGCAAATGCAAATGCAACTCATGTACATATTATCTACCTGCTGTAGAATTGGGATGAGCAACTATTTATAAAAAAATTAGTAATAATTGCTCCTGCTCATGCATGCTTCTCACAGTAAGTAAATTGTGCCGTGTTCCACACCCAACTTATTTATTGAACCTACGAAACAATAATTTGCGATGAATTAAAACTGAAACTTTATTATTTAAATTCTCTGTCTGATTCAAAAGTGGAAAATGATCAGAATTGGACACGCGATCCGTCTGATAAGCAAGATAAGTAAATATCTACGAGAGTAATTTCCCCACAGCCAGTTCTACTAAATGCATACATACACAAAAATTGAACAAGATGAAGAAGCTGCCAAAATTATTGTTTCGTGATAATTGACAGTTTTGAAGAAAAGATTGGTAGAAACTGCACAGGACGAGTTGGTGATGCAGCTGTGTAGTGGATAATTTAAATTGAGGCATTAATGACCAATCATTTTTAGTGTAGTAAGCAAATACACATTGGCCTCATGTCTACCAACCATTGACAGGAGCTTACTTAGCAAATCTTGTGGGATGTTGGTTTAAAAAGACATGTCATAATTTCCAGATACTTATTTTTCAGCCGATTTGCACGACAAAATTGGCATAATTTTTTATTTTCACGGGAGTTGAGCCAGTTATAGAAAGTAACGAATAACGACGACACGTTAATGACAAGTGGTTAAACTGGTGGAAATTTGGGAGCAGTGATTTAAGTATCGGAAAGGTAATTAAGTCGTATATATCACTAATTGGAGTATAATTCCATTCTGTCAGCTCTTCCACCTCGTCATTCTACTTTTGCATATTTAGTAGCCCACCATCAGCACATTCACATCATCGATTTGTGGATATGATCAAGTTTTTTTTATGAGGCAGATGAATCCAAACAACAAATTGGTCTCCTATGTTCAAGTGGATGATAAAAGTGCGAAAATAAAAATAAAGTACGAATTTTTTGCAATAAATAAATGAGTGAATGAATCAGGATACAAAAAATGTCATTGGGTATTCTTTCTCTTTTATTTTCTGTTGCTTTTTAAATTTTTGCAACAACTCGTCGACATTTCCATAACGTACAAACAAACGGTTTCTCTTCATTTTCACATCATGAATCATAACAATAATCATCCTCATCATACTTACATATAATATCTGACCTGCTACATAAATATTGCGCGCGTAGTACTTGTGGTATTTTCCATTTTAACAACTTTTTTGCTATTATTCGTTCTACATCTCAAACGGTTTCATCTCTTGCTTTGCCATGGTACGGTATTTCTTAGTATGCTTGGTGGGTGGGTGGGTGGTTGGTTGGGTGGGTAGATTATTGGATAGGGTGGGATTGGAACTTTCTTCATAAGTATTTAATAGCCTTAATAATTATACGTCATAGATTTCTTTTAAGTCGAGGAGTTTACAGTCTGAACAGTTTTGCTAAATATTATAATTTTGGGGGAGAAACTGAATTGACGAAAAAATAGTATGGAATCAATCGAAACATGAGACACAGAGTGCTCAATTCAAGTACGATGATGGTGAGGCAAATTGATACGCGTTATTGAAATATGTTCCTAGTTTGTAATGAATTTTGGCTACCACGAAAAAAAAGACTGAATGTATCCTGACTGACTGGCCCTCATTTTGGGGGGATCCGTAAAATAAAAGTAAATGACACGAATAACAACCCGTCATGAATTTTGTTATTCCTTTCTTAAAAAATAAACGTGTCCCTCTATATTTCTTTTTCATTCCGTACAAAAACAATCCTGCCGAGTGGGTTGAACAATTATAACATTATTATTTTAGTATTTATATACCTCCTCCTGATCTACGACACTCGTTAGAATAAATACTGACTAAAATAGTTTTACCCACTAAATTACTTAGCGTACCGTAGCGTAGGAGAGTAGAGTTTTATTTAATTAATTAAGTAATTAACTGTATTTGGCATTTATTTCAAACCCCACTCTTTTGGTACGCTCTTGGTACAGGCGTAAAATATACTAATTTTTTTAAATAAGTCATCCTCCGAGAGATGATTTAGTTTCCACGCGTGTCGAGTTATTATTGAGTGAGTGACTGAGATTTAAATGGTAAATGTTTGCTGTACTAAAAACTGCAATAATAATATAATTACACGAGACAATAAGGAGAACTGTCTGCATCATCGCATCACGGAGAGGCGAGGACGAGGAAGAAGGGGTCGGCTGAACTGAGAAAGTTTTCATCGTAGCAGTAATAAAATCACATATCGCACAAGAAGTGGGGGAGGAGGATCAGTTATCAATACTTAATAATCGGCCACGAAGAACGACACACAAGAATATAAATAGTAATTAAGGGGGTCGTGACAGGTAATCATTGGGGGAGGAGGGGATTTAATGTGTGGATGATGAATGATGATGATGATGATGTGTCGTCGTCATCGTCATCGTCATCATGTGTAGTATCTAAGTAGGTCGTGTAGGCCACGTAATAATAATGCCAGAAAAATTAACCTCCACTCCACATTTGCATTTATGTATGATGAATGTAAACTGACTACATTTTGTTGTTGAGGAGTTGGTTGAGATTATACGCTGCGTTGAGATGCGCGGACCGGGCGAGGAGGGCGTAATGACTTCCGGCCGGTCCCACGGGGGGCATGAGGCCTCCGAGGGATGGCGGCAGGAGGGGTCGAGCCGCGGCCAGGCGCAGCTTCTCGATTTCCGCCTCTTGCAACCTCTTGGCCTTGGCGCGACGATTTTGAAACCAAATTTTTACCTGGAGAAAAAAAAAGAAAACATTCCAAATATTTTAGAGCTCTGGGCAAAATAGATTTTTTTCTCTTGTTCAATCCAATTTAATCAATCTACTGCATAATTCGATACGCAGTGTGCCCCATAATTTCCCATTTGTGTCATCTCCAATTGGACCTTGTCTTGTTCACTGACAGCCAAACCCAACCAAACCAGACCAGGAGTCGAGAAGAAGAAGGCTATCTCTCTCTCACCACAAATTACATGATGCATTCCCATTTATCCACTGACGATGTTATGCAGAGTGAATTAAGCCAAGTTTTTCTCTGATACAACAATTTGTACTTTTGTTACGAGAAGCTTGTTGGTACACAAGGCTAATAAATATTCAAGTATTCTACACTAATGGAGCGAATTAAGATAACATTTCTCACTAAAATTTCAACCCTGTCTTGGACAAGAAGATCTCGAGTGGTGCTATTTAAAAATGTGACATTTATCCTATTTATATGCACTCACGTCAAGAGCAATCACGTCTTCAGAGGGACGCATGCACATATGTAAAACGTATCATCATCCCCACCATTTTCCAACTTGATGAAAAGATTGACTGGCAGTTTTTACATGATTAAAATTTAATCAGACAAGTTTCACACAAATGCGGGTACATTTCTCGTGCTGACATCGAAATAATTGTGCGTCAAGCGAAGTGAGCCGTTTAAGTTGACAAGAACGCGACGACACGCGTATTGTGATGGAGGAAAAAGATAATACTTTTTGGAGGAGGAAGAAAAGGCCAAGAAGAAGATTTTATTCCGTCCCTTGAAAAAAATGCTGGCATCTCCGAAGCCTCTCGACTCGTGGGTCTCACAAATAATAACAATATTACATATTACATTATTCAACATCTGTCAACATAATTGATCCGTCACGTTCAAAAGCCTGGCTCACTCGCATACTAAAATGTTTACTCTTTTTGTTGTGCTTGTTATTTATTAAGGATGATGTGTGGTTTGGTTTCTCAAGTGGCCATTCTTTCCATTCCATCCTGACAGCTACACAGGGATGATGGTGACACTGCGCCTCAATGGGATTATCTACCTCGAGTAGAATCTCGTTGATACTATTCGTATAAATTTGTTTGCATTGAGTCTCCTAAATTAAAATGTGTTGTTGAACAAGCTCACGGTAAAGCGGTGACATATTATTTTTCCTCTTCTTATTAATTCTGCCCGAACTGTACATTATTCTCGGTTGGAGATGAAGTTGCTGATCTCGGATGGTGGATTGGTTATAAGGGAAAAATAAATAAATAAAGTGAGCAATAATTTACTCGAGAAAGTGCGCCCAATAGAGAAGCATGAATGGTCCATTACATTACACCATCCGTCTTTTCTCCACACCTTTATGTTTCCATTGTTTTATCATTTTGACGTGACCAAGTAAACGTGAGTGGTTACGACACGGCTAACTCATTTAGACATGGACATACATACGCTGAGAGAGAGAGAGAGAGAGATGTGTGTGACTTAAATAAAATGACAAAGTTATCACTTCTTCCCTCACCAGGTAGTAGGAAGGATTATCAATCGACTACCGCCACCACCACGCTGTCCACTTGACACGTCCTCAGAATTCGTGCATATGTAAATAAACTTTACGTAACGTCGTTGATGACTTTATTGTGTTATCAGCATCGTCTCTTCTTCTTCGACTGGAAAAACGGTGCTGTTGTGAGGTAGCCGTGAATACGAAGTGTTTCGTCTTTTCTTTCATCGCTTTTTACCACCAACAATACCCACTTAACGGAAAATGAATTGCATGAACTGCGAATGGGAGAGAGACGAGATTTTCAGTTGACGATTTTTATTTACGTGGGGACGCGTCACCATGAAGGAAATTTAATCAAGAGCATACCGACACTTTCTACGAACGTATAATAGCGAGATGAAAAACTGGCCTTCCTGATAAATGAGCAGTGTCTGGATGAGAGCTAGATTTTGATAGATAACCAGTCATGACTAATACCTCCTGTTTCAAACAACACAACATCCCATCCATATACCCAAAACTAAGGAGCTAGCTGACTAATATGCAACTACTGTTGCCCAATTGGATCACAGGTATGCATCGTTTTGTCTCTGTCTCTGTCTATCAGGAAACCTTTGTGTAGGTATTTATTTATTTATTAATACGGGCACTAATTGGGACAGAGGGATTGCTTTCGTATTGACGGAAGCCTATTTGTCAGACTACTTTAAGGTAGATCATTACTTTTTGGATTTTAAAATTGCTGAGAAACTCATCCCAATTCTTATATTGATCAAGATAAGTCATGAAAACACTCACCTGCGTTTCTGTGAGATTAAGTGAAGATGAGAACTCGGCCCTCTCGGCAATCGATAAATACTGTTTTTCACGGAATTTCTTCTCTAGTGCTAACAACTGCAAAAAGTAAAACATTAATTTAAGCCTAATTTGTACTGCGAAATTTTTTATCGCGTCATTAAGTATTTCAGATTTTCAAGCTATAAATATAAAATTATTCTCAAATTAACCTGTTGTGTGGTGAACGGCGTTCGAGGTTTCCGATTCGGTTTGTGCTTACGAAGCTGACACCGAACAGCAGGACCGGGTAGTCTTGGTGGCAGGACATCTGTTCAAGAAAGGGGACAAGAAACTGAATGAGTATGCTTTTCCCATAGGTATGTGCAAACAAGAAATATACGCCCAAGGCTTGTCGACTCGAGTAATTAATGCATTTTTCATCTTGGTCACTTGAATACATAATTGCTCGCAATAAGTCGAACAATAATTAGTAATTAACATGATTGGCCCACTTAATGGACATATTTAATTTAATTGTGCCCATGTCCTCTCTCGAAGCAATTGTTCATTCACCTTCATCAGTACAAGAACGAAATATTGGGATTGTTGTTACATTTAATTTCTCAAATTAAATTGTATGCCATGTTGTGTATACACAATCGTCGTCTCGATATTATTAAGTGGACCAGTCGAAACATGAAAGGGTGATTCGTTCCGTAATTTAGTGCTCTCTCTCTCTCTTTCACACGGGGAACAACAACATTATCATGAAATCTGTGCCAGCCATATCGTATCGTAATATTTAACATTCTGACAATTTGATCAGTCAAACGTCATCATAATTTCATATAAAAGAATCTTCTACTTATCATCATTAACCGCTAAGTAAGATTTTCCGTTCTTTCTGTGATGTGCTTATTTTCTCTTTCACTTTTTTTACTTCTTATATTCCTTGCTAAACGTGTGCATCAATCTTTTTCAACAGTTTTTCGTGGTATAAGAATTACTAGAGGTGATAATGATCGGGGGAACACATAATGCCGTCAAGGATGAGATGTGAGCACGCCAAGTGGATTTTTTCCACTTGTGTAATTATGAGCATTTTGTGACAATCAAATCATCAAAATGTTGAATAAAGTATTTAAAATGGTGTTGGTCAGTCAGCATAATGGAATCTCGTGCAGGGAGCTAAATGATCATCATCCCTGTCTCCGTAATCGCACGAATGTGTGTGTACCTCATATTTTAAGTAGGATACGATGTACATATTTGCATATGTACGAGTATGAAGAGCTGTTTACACTGCTGCTACCCAATTAAAGTTCAGTGTCTCATAATTCTGCGCGACGACAACAATGGGACATTTATATTTCATTCATTCATCCCGTTTCACCAACTACGCAGCGACCAATCATAACTCGACGGTGGTGGTGGTGATGCTCCTAAGTCCTGATTTTAACAATTGTCATGCATGTATAATAATACAGGTACATTTTTGCTAACAAAAGGTACCCACACTCTTATTGCTGGGTTGCCTGTGAAAGTATAAATATTTAATTTATCTACCTTGTGTTGTAGGAGATGATTTTTATTTTATTATTTTTGCAGTTCCTAAATATTTAGTAGATTTTTATGCGGCTTTTGGCGATACTGTTTGTACATATTTTATTGTTTAGCAATCTACCGAAATCTAAAAGATTGCGAAGCAGAGAGAGAGCGATTTCATTCATAATTTTTTAAGGTGGGGATATGCAATTTTTTATGTACAACAGCTTGTTTTTTAAAAAAATGTGACACGAACAGTTGAACTTACTTCCTTGCGAGGTGTAACCCCAACCGAGTAGAGGAAGGGCCCAGGTGGGTGTGAGAGGCGAAATTGGGGACGAATACGACCTTGACGACGTCGGACTGTGATCCGGAGTCCCTGAAGTTGAGCTGAAGGCGGAATTTGCTCTTCGAACTGCGGCTAAAAGTTTTTCTTCGTGGCTGGAATAGCAAAGATGAGAATACATGTCAGACGACGGTATTAAATATTCTCGCTCGTGGCCCGGCCGAATTATTAAAAAAGCTATAAACAGCCTTGTCTCATATCCTGCCCCGAATGCGGAGGAGAAAATATTGAATTGAATTTCTTATTATTTTGAATATTATAAAATGTGCATCGGTAATATCGATCCTGTGCAGTTCGTTCGAGTAGCCTAGATGTACATCACCAGTTTTGAAGGACTATTTACTTATTATTATACGAGCCCATTGACTACCTAGTTTGATTTAATTATTAAGAAATTGGATTATTCAATAAAAAAGGAATACGAAGCCCCGAACTGGGTTGAATCATTATTGGTTGTTCAAGTGAATTTGTAGTCAAGAAGGCTCGTGGTATTTGGAGACGTACATATGTACATATTATGTGATATGCGATAGGTGCAGTAAAGTCAACCCACTTCCAATTGTCTCGAGCTTTATCTGATTAGTTTATTCTCAAAAATTTTGCTCTTTCTTATTTTTTACCTTTGTCGAAAGGACAATCGACATGTTATAACTATTTCTGTTTTATTATTCATGTCTCCTGACTTTAATTTCTTGCTGCTTTCTGCATTAATTCCTTTTTTCCCGACATAACAAACCAATGCGCAACATAACTTGACCGACTGACTGATAGGGATTTTTTTATTATAAAAGGGAATAAGCAATTTTTATCTCGCTATAAAATTGGGTTTGAATAGGAGTGCAATTCTGACGTGCAGTTCGGTACGTAAACATTTTTAATAGTGGATATTGGAATTAAGGGGGGAAATAAGTACAGGTTATAACGTGATGAGATCACGGGCGAGATAGTGAATTTTCTGGTAAGGAAAAAAATGATGAATTTATCACCTTTTTATTAGTACAAATTCTTGATGATTAGATTGTGATTATCGTAATTTTGAAAAAAATATCATAATTCAGTCGGCATATATACGTAATGGAACCCTTTCTTCGTATTTATACTAAAGAAAATGTATAATCTGGCTGAAGGGCCAAGTAAGAAGTGAGGCAAGCTGTTGACTCCTCGGTCGCATTGTTGCATTTATTATAATAAAGTCGATATCATCTTTTCCCGATTTACGGTCACCTCACCTCAGGAACAATGGAGAGGGTGGCAGTATAGGTACATGAGTATCGTTGCCTGTGTAATATGCGCTACTCGAACTCGACCAAAAAGGAACAATGCCAACATGGGATGACTGAGCAATAAATATTTGTGAATGTCAAGTCAACTCAATGCAGAGGCATCTGTATATAAAAGTCAGTTCATATGTTGCCATTATTGTCGCTCTTTGCCTGCCTGACATTGAGAGCCGGGTGACAATACCTGTCAGACTGGAAGGGACCCAACCAAGGGTACACCTTTGCTTTTGACTGGATTGACTGAATGGGACTGTGAATAGCAAATGCCATAATGGAATTACACCCTGTATCAGTCACACTATGGGCCATCATGTGATACACTGAGAAGAAGGAGGAGCGATTCCTCCTCCCCACTTTCCACCACCCATTCATCCCCCTCGTAATCATAATAATCCCATTTTATCCGATTCAACGAGTCGGAAATCTAAATAAGTTTTCGAGCAGTGTCAATTTGAAAAAATCAAGTTTAGATGATGAGATTACTATGTAAGATCTATGTTTGTGTACAATGGGTTGATTTAATCTCGCCATTGTGACGATTGCCAAGAATGATATTATTATGGATGTATGTATGCATGCATGTATTTATAAGGAGGTAATGTTCCACCCTGTTCTTTTTGGGTGAAAAGATTACACAGCTTGTCGCCATTGGATTGGATTAGATGAAGACGTGGGATTATTATGTGTCACTTTTTTATACGTTTAATAGTTTAAACTGGATACATTTTTTATCTCACCTCAAGGAAGTTTTGTCCGTATTGCTGTCATCACTGTCCTTCTCATCCTTCTGGCCCAAGAGGGATGCGACACTGAAGGATAATTTTTTCTCAGTCTTATTGTTCTTTAGAAGATTGGTTTGGTGGAGGTGGTGCAGAGCTTCGCGTTGTCTTTGCTGCTGCTGCTCGAGCAACAATTTGCCGTCATCTTCCAGATCGACGTCCTCCTCTTCTTCGTCAATATCTTCGTCTGAGGTATCAATGTACGTCTCGGGATCCTCGTCCTCCAGCTCCATGTCGATGTCTTCACTGGACATTCTGTCTCTCGACGCCCCCTTCGAGTCAGAGCTGGACATTTTCATAAGGGGCCACAGATGGGTGATCCTGGACAGCGCAATCTTAACGGGACAAGAACAGCAGCACAAGAACTGCGCCACTGGGCTTTGCGAGTAATAATAAAGAAGATCACTTCCGGCGAGTGAAAGAGGTGTGGGAGTTGAGTCGCGGTGGAGAAAGTTTAATACTCGTCGTCGTCAACACCTGATTTTCCCAATGTGGTCAACTGATGTCAACTGACGACCAAAGCAAAGTCGTCTCTCTTGGTGAAAGTAGACCCGCAAAGTAAAAAAACCCAGCTACGAGAGTAGTTAGTTCATGTATGAGACAAAATAACTGTGTGTGTGTGACTTGACTTTCACGTACGTATATCGATCGTATTATGCTCTGTGGCTTCGTCGTTGTCGTCGTCGTCGACGTCGTTTAATACAAACAATTCCTCCAACTTGTCCCGTCGACTTAATAACTTATGTTATCTGCTTTCAAATTATTCCCAAATTTGCCATTCATTCTCTGTTTCGGTGAAAATAAATTGATTGGCTTCTTGTCTTGCATGCATTCATGTCACTTTCCCTTTCTCACCGTGTCCAACCAATAAATACTGCGACACAAGAAACACAGATCGATTGATAATTGTTTTCCTGGCTTGATTATGTATCACCACAACCACACGTGTGGCTTGCTTAAAATGGGACCGAATTAATTCTCAATTGTGAAAAATTTCGCCAAATTGAATGAAACTAATTATAAAATCGATATCATTCATCTGAAGAGGGGACAGTAATTGAACATTTTGCAAGAGTGGTGAGTGTCACTCGGTTACAATTTTGGTGTCCAACTGGTCATATCGTCGTCTTCTCCTTCTTTCTCCTCGCAGCGTTCTGGACTTGTAATAAGTCTAATTTTGCTTCACTTATTAAAAGAACCAAGTTTTTGGTGGTGCTGCTTTTCTCGGAATAAGTGGTCTCTTCAAGAGAATAAGGGTCAATTGAACAGTAAACCGACTAATAATGGTACCCAACCCACAGCAAAATTGTCCCTAATTCGCAGGTTGGTCACATACACGTTCGGTTAATCTGTGTTTAATTGTTTTCGCTAAAAACGAAGAGTTAATTCTTATGAATTTCTTCCCCCTCACTTTTCGGCGATAGTTTACTCGTGGTTTTAAATTTGCTGACCCTTTTTCACACTTATTGCCCACCAATTTCCATTTAATGGATTAATCTTGTAGAGAAATTGGTAGTCACTGTATTTTCACTATATTTCTTCCTCACATGTAGTTCCTTAATTCGTACCGAGGCACACACACGAAACATAAGCGGTAACTTTTTTCTTAATGTTCAACTTTGTTTAGTGCCAGTTAGTTGTGTCTCAGTCAAGGTTTGACTAACTTCTAAAACTTGGTCTCGTATCTCGCTCTCTCGTTGCTGCTTACTCACTACAACTTTTGGTCTTCTTATTTCTTGGAATATCTCGTCCATCCAAGTTGTCGAAGTGCAACATAGGCAGTCGTCACCACACTAACAAGTACATAAACATGTATTAAGCAGCAGCAGCAGTCAGCAATGTTTGTGTTGTTTTGTTTGTTGCGTTCAGTTGTGGTGCTGCTGCTGGTTTGGCTTTTGCTTTTTGTTATGGGGAGTGCAAATGTCTCTATTTTATTGCTGCACTTCTGCAATTAAGCGAGTTTTGCTGCTACTATGCACACCACGTGAATATCCACAATTCACCTCAGCCTTTCCTCTCCGCTTCTTTCCACGGACTGAGTGGTATGGATGGATGGGAGTCGAGTTAACGCGACAAGACAATCAATTACCGCTTGGTGACGAGAAGTACTAATTGGAATCGGAGTAGTAAAATAGTAATAAGTGGCAGTGAGACAGAGGTGTGACGGCAATTGGGTTTTCTTCTCAATTATTCTTCATTGCTCGGGTAATAAAATCGTTGTCTCTCGTTATTCGCGATATGGAAATGTGTGTGCTGATTGGGTGTAATTGAGACGGCTGAAAATAGACTCGGAGTAAATAGTTATGACGACGGAGAGGGATTTGAAGCCAGATTGGAGGCAGGTATGAGAATGTGATGGGTATTTGATGATGATCTGGCCGTGCTGTAAATATGTATGGCCTGCTGCTACCCGGACTGTGCTGTGAGGTGTCTATAGTCAGTAGTAGTAGTGACAACTAACTCTCCAGCAGATTCTCCAGAAGAGAGGCAAACTCCCCTTCCGAATTTCGGGTCAATTCAGGCGCTGGCTCACCCACCACTCACATGCGTAGTCTGTTACCATCCCAGGATGGCGAAAATAGCGAGAAAACACATCCTTCACGCCGTAAAACACTCCTATTATTCAGATTCAAATAAGTAACGGGCAAACGGGCCTTGCTCTGCTGGTATTATCCGTCCGAGGGGCAGATGAATCCCTCTTCTCGCTTCTCTGTCACAGTAATGAATTGGATGCTGCAGAGGGGACGAATTAAGGAGGAGGATATTTCATATTTGCATTTTATTATATATTATGTTTCTCCCTGTTTTGTTGCACGGGGGTCGAATTGTTTGTTGCTATTATCGTCTCATGAATGATGCAAGACGTAGTAAAAGTTAAGTCGGGCTGGAGGAATTAATTGAGTTTTTTGTGTACGTAGCTCTCGCCCGTAAGAGATGTGCGTATTGATAAAAGGTTTCATGATTTCTCTCTCTCTCTCTCCGACCAACTATACCCGTCCGAGTGCGAGCATAATAATAATAGGCAGCCCGACTGAAATGTAATCTTATCACGTTGCATGTATCAAATTGGACTGGGAACACTTTTAGCTAGGGTAGAGTTGTTTGTCAGTTTGTAGATTTTGGATTAAATATGCAGGCATTTAGTTTCCCATTTGTTATTTCTTCATTGTGCTCACTCATTCAGAGGTTCAGTTTCAGGGAGAGGTGAGAGGTACGGCTTCACGTATGTATCAAATCGACATATTATTTCAAGCGCCCTGGAGAGAGTTCACATACTGCAAGAAACTGTAAGGAGGGCAAAATGGACCCAGTGTCCTAATATTTTTAGCCTGGACGTGAACACTGATGAAATCAAACGACCCATTCGGGAGGATTTGTCTCAAAAATTGGTCAAATTTGAGGGCACGTCGTTTCACATTGGGTTGCAGCATGTCGTCTCATCGTGTGTATGGGAATGGATTTCCGCCGTTGCTGGTAACGGAGAGAAGAGATAAAATATCTAGCGTGGAGGATAATGAAACGAAGGGATATTAGAGAAATGAAGAGGATGACGCTCTGTTAAAGTCGTGCTGATGATAATATTTGGTAAGCAGGGAAGGTTCAGGTGGGGGAGAAATATACAAAAGTTGGTCGTCGTGGTATATATTACGTAAGGAACGTGGTGTGCGGGTTTGTTTCAAGCGAGGAGAGAGAGACTCCGCCTGAAAACCAGTTCTCCGCCCGTTTGAACAAACTCAGCTCCAATCCGGCCGACGAGATCCGGCAGCAGAAGTGAATAAAACCGATTTTTTCCACTCTCTGTTCCTGCCTGGGCATCATTTATGCTTTCAAATTATAGGTCTCTTGTACCAGCTCGCCTGCTAATCTCCCGTTCCAGCAGCAGCAAGAGGAAAGGAAATCCCTGCTCTTTCTCTCTCTCTCTCTTTCGTAATAGTGCTTGCTCCCAGTGAGATGAGCCCTCTCGCTCTCTCTTCCTGGAAATCTAACTCACATTATTTACAGCTAACTATGTATCTATAACCCTTGCATTTTTCGTCATCTGTCAAAAATTATGTCGTGATTTCCCCCAGATTTTTTTTTCAGAATGTATTTTGTGTAATGTGAGAAGAAATTTTCAAATTGGTGGTAGAAAGGTGGGAAGATTCTAAACTGGAGCAGCCACTACTTCCTGTTCTGAATTGGTTAATATTATGTATGAATGGAAAAAGCGAGACAAAACTCTCCAACTTTTTCCCCATTACATTCATTGTATCAAATTGATATCATGACCTCCTTGAGTTTGAGGCTCAGTGAAGCGTGGATTAAATTCGTATGACTGAAGTGCATTGAATGGTACAAATTTAACCCATCTGCTTATGAATTTTGAGTGGGCATCCATACCTCGTCCTTCTCCTCCAATGGGGAGAGGACACTTCTGGGTCCAATTTAAAAGTAATAATGATACAGAGAGCTATTTAGAAAAACACCCTTTTCCATTCAGCCCAGTGGATCCCCTCGACAGTCGAGAGCCAAGTTCCGCTCCAGCTAAGCCATACATTTTACATGCATAGTTAATAATAATACGGAGCGATATTAGGCCATATATTTAATACCAGGAGGAGAACAACCAACCAGAAATGATACGGTCGTCATTATATTATTACTATTATTACGAAAATGATTTCTATTTGTTCCTGAACGCCTCGCCATGAAATATTGAGTCATGGATGGATGGTGAATGGATTGTGTATTCAATTCCATTTGTCCGCAAACCTACTAATTCAATTACTTGGTGTTGGTTAATAGTTTTCTCTCGATATATTTCTCTACTAACTAATAACGTCAGACTTTTCATTTTTTCCTACCCATTGAGCTCCCATTGTTGTATTCTTGGTGATATTTTAGTCTCTCAGAGTTCTCACGGGGAGAATTATTTAATGGGATCGTGATAATGGAATAATGTGCAAGTGCTTGTCCCTTGTTTCGCGCAGCAGATTGTATAATAATCACGATGCTGCGAACGGTGTATGGACGACGCACTTCTAGTCCCACCGGGATGTTCCTCTTTATAGGAGACAAATACCCTGGTGGAAATGGCACTAGCTCATTTTTCACCCGTGTTGTTATGGCACATTGAATACTTAATGTGTTCCTAAGTAGTTGAACCATTATTTATTGCTATAGACTCTGCTGCTGCGTCCTCCTCGCAGCCAGTGGTACTTTTACTACGTCCTCCTCCTCCTCCTGCTGCCCGTTAGTATGCATGTCCTCCTCGTTTTATTATCACCCAAAAAGCTCACCGTTTAATCTCTTCCTATTGCTACATCCCATTTAATTAACCTGAGCACGTACGTGGTTGTATTAACAACAAATCTCAGTCCGATGTTATTGCACCTCTTTTCAATTTATTCATATCCTCACTTGGCCCAACCAAGAATAATAGTGTTTCATCTCTGTTGGAAAATCCAGTTTGGGAACGAGCGGTGACATACCACCAGTGATGATGACATCAGTGATGAGATTTAGCTTTCATTTGATGAGATTGAATTTTAGGAAATTTTAAGAAATTTCGGATTAAATTGTGGGATCGGATAGAATTGCGATTTTATAAAGATGACACGAGAGATGATGAGATTCGTCGCATCTAAAAAGCACCACGATGGTAAAAGAGAGGTCGGAACGGGTTTCTAGGAAAGAAACCCTCCTCGAGCCTTACTTGAATGAAATGGAGAGTACGTTTTTGTTGTGGAGAGAATCTCACCGTGGTCGTCGACGGTAATCGAGAGAGCATGATGTATCCTTATATCGCCTCCCTTCCTTCCGAGGGTGGCGAAAGCCAGAACCAACCACAGCACACACAGCAAAATCCGTGTAAAGCTGCAAACGAGAAGAAGAAATGAGTGCAAAGTAAGAAGGTTAGTTTTAGGCGAGTAAAGGACAGGATTGTATAAATTAAGAGGTTAAACTAATGAAGGAATGCCAATTGGAAGGTGCAGCCAAAAGGCGAGTCAACAAGTAACGCGAAACTGAACACCTTTAGTGCAACTTGAACCTTATTATGAAATCAGTTCCCGTCATTCCTCACATTTTCTGGGGAAATTCTCATGTGCACGAGAAATGTGTGTGCATGGAGGAGAAATGTGGACATGTAGCGAGCCAACTTCTTACTTATGTAAATGCGTGCATAGGTGGATATTCGGCTGGGTAGTTGTCGACATATTGCCGAAAATATTAAGTTATCGGAATAATAATGTTGCAACTTTATGGCATTCCTTGCTCCAATTTCTTTGGAATTTGCAACCTGGCATTTTAGCGAATCGCATTAACATTTATAAATGCATACCAAACCAGATTGAGTGTGAAAATATAATGTGTCGACAATAGTTAAAAACTTGCGTTGTTGGAAGCGTGCCTTCGACTAATGGTTTGTGACTCGTTTGGCCAAATATTTAAAATAATTGACCAAATTTCTCTGCATTTTAATGCGCGAACCTTTTAAACCCTTTTTTATTTACTGCTTCGTAATGAAATGACCAAATTTAACGAGACAAAAAAATATTATCTTTATTTTTATTTTATTTCAATTTGTGCCTGTTACTAACTTAGCGTGGTTGGTAATAATACTTTTGGCTTGAACGTGATAAGCTTAATTAGCTGTGCGTATACTAAAAGTTGATTCTGCTGCCGTTATTATTTCATAAAGAACAAACCTCCTGTTGGTCCCGATTAGGTTAATGATTCGAAATGAAGAAACGCTCATTTTTTTATTTGACAAGTTTAATGAAACGAGTAAAAAAAGAGTTAAAAGCTATTCGTCTCATGTTCTCTCTCGTCGTAGTGCGATGTGGGCTGAGTGTTATCATGACCATTTAATTTAAAATATTATCCAACCATAAAAGTAATGATGATAAGAGTAATAAAAACATTGGTGGATGAGTTATACGTACGACTCGTGGGTAGGTACTCGTATGTACATTCGTACGTAGGTATGCATGGGTTTTTAATGAAATTAGTAATACCAAGTCAGTCATCATCATCGTCGGAAAATATCTAGCAGTCAGTTCGAGAAGTGGGGACGTACGAATCATTATTTTTATTATTATTATATCATATCGTGAATACGACTGCGACGACCACGAAGACGAAGGAGCAGAGCAACTGTAAACATTTGGTAATTACTGAGAAAACGCAATAACGAGAGCGATTTGTTCCACCTAATTTAAGCCAAAGAGAAGAAGACCTGTTTATTAGTATCGTCGTGTCGTCTCCGTCTGTTGAAATGTGTATCCACGGAATGGATGGATGTGCGTGCAGTGTACGTACGTATTCAGCAGCGGGGGTAAAACTTGACGAAATTTTAGTATTATCTTCTCCTTCTTCTTGGTGGCTGGAGGAGTAGAAAAGCCAAAAAGTTATAAAAAAACGAGTATAAAAGACGTCTCTACTCGGGTTGGATTGGATGGATGGATGGACAAAGTTGGGTGAGTGGCAGACTAGAAATAAAACATCACATAAATGAGCAAATGGCGAGTCAGGATGGTGGATAATGATATGGGTCGTAATAATTATGTAAAGTGAAACGTCTCAAGATTCTGTTTCTCTCATAAATATTCAGTCGTCCTCTTTCACGATAAAATCGCAATCAGCGCGTTGCACATTCTGAAACGCGTACTCGCCCTACGACGTGGGCAAGGTGGAGGAGGAGAGCGATACTACAAACAACAAGTACAAATCGTGTAATTATGATAAAAAAGGAGACTCTGTGTCGTTAACTTGTTCCACAAAATGAGAATTAATTGTTGAATCATCATATCAATGTTGGGTTAAACGGAGTGAGTATGTCATCCAGGCCACCTACCCTTATTTTCCATCTTTCCGCCATACATGTGGCCTAATAAGTGTCCACCAGGGCAAGTAAGTGAGTGGTAGGAGTGTGTTGAATTATAATAGAAATATCATTTCTCCATCGGAAGACGAGCAGTAAAATGGGAACCATCAGGTTGAGTCGCGTTTTCCTAGCGGGGAAGCTCATGAGAGTCCATCTGATAAGGGATCTCAACAAATAAAGAGACTTTAAAGAACATTAAACAAGGATTTAATGCAGCTCCCAACCCTTTGATTACCTCTTTCCACGTAATAATAAATGATGAACGTTTATCACAAGGATTACATTGGAGGCACGACAGACTGCTGGAATCATATCATACACATCCTTCCAGTTAGGGTGACCATCCGTCCCGGTTTAGCCGGGACATGTCCCGCTTTTCAAACCCTGTCCCGGCGTCCCGAAAATGTCCCGGTTTTGATAAAGTGTCCCGGTTTTTTGAATCGTCGGGAAAAATTAAATTATTTCACTTTTTCGCCAAAATATTGATGAAAAAGTATATTTTTGTACATAAATACTAGTAGCATGCATGTAATATTTACTTAATTTCCTTTCCTGGCTCATTCTCAAAATTCAGTGATATTTGAATTGCCAAGCACTAGATATTATGGCAAATTTTTTCGCCAAGCACTAGATATTATGGCAAATTTTTTCGCCAAGCACTAGATATTATGGCAAATTTTTTCGCCAAGCACTAGATATTATGGCAAATTTTTTCGCCAAGCACTAGATATTATGGCAAATTTTTTCGCCAAGCACTAGATATTATGGCAAATTTTTTCGCCAAGCACTAGATATTATGGCAAATTTTTTCGCCAAGCACTAGATATTATGGCAAATTTTTTCGCCAAGCACTAGATATTATGGCAAATTTTTTCGCCAAAAAATGTCCCGGTTTTAGTCAGGACAAATATGGTCACCCTACTTCCAGTACTGATATTATTTGCTCTCTCCGGTGCATATCCACTTTTCAGCAACATCCGAGAGCCAGGTATCACAATATCAAGTCGGAATACACCACCACCTTTTGTTTCTCATCGCCTTATGTAACAAAGTATTATGCCAAGGGACGACTGAACCTATTATGCTTGAGAACGACACAAACCTTGAGCAGTGACTGGCTGACTGACAGACAAAGTTTCGACTTAACGGAAGAAGATGAACCTCACATCACGAGTCGTTTGAGTTACACACTATTAAACCCTCTCCTTTATTTCGACCAGTCTCATCGTAAAACTTTCTCATTCTGCTCCAGAGACAACGTGTTTAAGAAGAAACGTGATCACGTCATATCACTAAAAACCAAACCAAACCAAACCACCAACCAACAATGAACTACTTACGTATGAACATACATATGTACCACTAGAACCACCTTTCTCCGCCGTATATCAATGTTTCTTTGGGTCTGTAAGACGGGAATAAAAAACAAATCCAATTCCAGGCAGACCAATTGAGCATCTGGTATGATTACGTATATTCCGTGTGGTTCTGATGGTGTGGGTTCTTCGCATTCGGGGCTTGTTTTTAATTGCAGACGATAATTTCACGTGCATCAAACAAAGCTCATTTTGACACATACGACATGCCAAGAAAGATTCCGACACAGCTTAATAAAGTGAAACGAGGTTGATATCTCGTTTGTATTCTACCGAATCTTCCCATTCTTGTTTTGGTCGGTGGAGTTCAAATCTCATGAAGGAATAAGCAACATGGACAAGAAGAACGGACGGAGCTCACCTTAATAATTCCTTGACGGGAATGCATGCCTGCATATCTAGGAAAACCGGCTCAAACTTTTTAACTTTTTACAATCCATGCCAATGTCTTATTTATTCTGCAACTTTGAAAACCTGAATTGTTGAAAGTTGAAAGAGCATGAAACATAATTATCATCATTACGACGTGAATTATAAGTTTATTGCTCACCCATCGAATTAGCACCTTTCAAATTTATTTATTATTTGGACACAATTACATCACTTGTAATATCGTCGAAGAGATAAAATAAATTACGAGAATAATTTTTACGACACGAATTTATGATCAGGGTTCAACAAATTAATAATAAATCATGATTTAATAATAATGGTGCGTAATGATTTCGGATAGGAAATTTAAAAGTGGAATGATTTTTCAGGTGACAATGACGATGATGATGATAACTAATAGGTTTCTGACGAATAGGTCGCGTCGCCGTGACCTTTTCCCAGGCTGCCCATCACACCATCCTTCTGTGCAAAGAATTTCCAGCTGAATTACTGTCCTTCTCCTCCCGTAATAATTTAAGGCCTCGTCAAATCCAGACTTGTCCAACCAATCCAACAAAATTAATGTTGAGGTATTCACGACCATTCCATTCCTTCGGGTTGATAAACTATTTATTTGTGTGTGTGTGATGCACCTACCTTTTTACGGAAGGGTGAAGAAAAAGTGATATTACGACTCGAATATGTGTGCACCCTTTTGTTGCTCCGTTCACAAGATCTTATCTGGAAATTAGGTATGCTCCCATATTCATATGTCTGCACCACCGCCATGTGTGTAGAGCTCAAGGAATTGTAATAAAAGCCAAGAAAATTCCGCCCGGTTTGTTCTCTGATCGCTTTGTAATGATATAAATGGATCCAAATCTTTTATCATCGTCACCATTCTGTAGAAATAAAAGTTGATAAAAAGAGAAAGAGAAATGAGAGAGATTTTTCCGCGACACAAAAGATTATTTTATAACTTTTTCCTCGTAAAGTAATACGCCGAGAGAGAGAGAGGACATATTTCAATTTGCTTATTATTTACTGCTCTCCCAACTCGGTGTGTGTAAGTATAATAAAGTAAAAGCATATAAATATGGTAGGAAAGCAGAGTTATAAGGTCGCGACCATTATTTAACACGACGACGACCTTCATCCATCCCAACGCAATATGAACTTGTGATAGGTCGATAAAATAAGTGACTCTCTGACTTCATCATGCTTTTACACGTTGTGAAGTGAATAACGACACAATGCTCGTCGCAATGGTTAGTTTGCACACACAAAGCAAAACTCGAGAGATTTTTCCCGAGCTCTTTTCATCCTCAACTTTTGTATGATCCGTTCCTACGTACGTACGTTCACGTATGTCCATATGTGTGCGGGTACGAAGTGGGAAATTTCTTTAGGATCCTACGTGCGTTTTTATTAAAAGGTGACACATTTTTTTGTACTCGAATACAACAAGGAGTAACTAACACCGGGCTGAAGGGTCGTCCCTCGTCGGTGGGATCACTTGATTATGAAGTGAGACCGATACCATGCGATGCAGTCGTAGTAGTAAATATGTGCCTATCCGAGTCTCGGGATGACATGTGTGCTCCGTGGCATCGTATGTAAAAGTCGTAATAATAACGATAATAATAATAATACTGTTAATCATAATGGGAGAGAGATATTTATACACGGGACACTTAAAAGGACGACGACGACGACGAGAATGAATGCAGTGACTGTGACTGCGTGGCGTGGCTCTCTTATTCAACAACTCGAATCGTTTATCAATTCCGCATTTCTCGTCTCATTGCATGACATTTTCACACAATGAAACTCATTTGAGTTCACTCTCTAATGAATTTACGTTATTATGAGAATTGTTATTACCCTTGTGCCTAATCGACGCAGTCAACTATCATCCCGGGGGCAGGGACACAATGGGTGAGAGACGCCGTACTAAATTATTCTTACTTTAGAGACCCATTTGTGTGAACGGGTAATAAATATGTGACAGGTTTTGGTTTCATAGTTTAAAAAAATTATATGTATTTGATCAACTGCTGCTCATTTTTATTATTGATGACCTGCTAAGAATTTGGTCTATGTAAGTAATCGTTTAAGAGGTGGTGGCTCAAAATTGGGGTATTTTCCCTCCATTCGTAATAATAATGATAATAATAAGGAGACAACTTAGTTGAACAAACTAATAATCAGTTATTAAGTACTAAAGGAAAAAGAGACGTCTCACAGCAAACAAACAGTCAAGTATATTTAATTCCCAATTGCACAATTGGCTTCCCTCTTCACAAATCTGGAGGAAATTGCGTCTCTCGAAATCCTATATATTTACCATTGTGGTCCTGTCCTGGAGATTAGTGGGACGCATTTGAGCCCTTGGTTGGTTGGTGGGAGAAAGAGCACACAATTTTGTGATAGACTAAAGAAAGCAATTTACCGTCCGATTACATGCTCTCGACTAAAGACTCGCTCCTATTATTCTGTCTCTTCTAATGCAGCAGCTCACTCGCTTTTCTTTACACCATCATCCCAGCTGCCAGTGTAAAAGTGGGGAGCAATATAATTTACAAAAAATTACAGTGTGTGTGCCAAGCATTTCGTTCAATTAGGGAGCCTATCAGTCTAATAATAGTGTTCAATTGACAAACTGTAAACAGAATTTTATAGTCGTTAAGCTCTAATAATAATGCCCAATAAAGAGCCAAGACTCAATTTGTGTGTAGTCGTCGAGAGCAAATTTAATCTGCTTTTTGAGCAGGAACCTGGCGAGGCTGGTTTTGCAGTGTTCATTCCTTTCCGAGCATCTCTGCTATCTCTCCATCCATCCCGTTTGACAGGGAGAATGATGACTTTCTCTCTAAAGCCAAGTATTCACCTCATGTTTTTCGCGTGAAAACACACTTTTCGGGCGAAAAGTGAAAAAATTTCGCCTTACGGTATTCACCTTGGAAAATATTTCGGATGAAAACTTGCGACGGTTTTTCGCCCGAACGAAATTTACTTGATTTTTTCGGCTGAAGTGAGGCGAAAAAGTTTTCGCCTGAAAATCGTTTTCGGCCGAAATTCGATGCGCCAATTTCAAATTTTGACTTTATTTTTCTTTTATAAATTCAGATTACGCATTTTTTTAACTCTTATTTCTTTAACTAGTTTTAATAAATCTTAAACTTGAATTACACATTTTAATTAATGTGTTTATAATTAAAATATCTAAGTGGTTTAATTCCCAGCTGAGATCGTGTCTACCGAAAATTTCCGAGAGGTGAATACCGTGGCCTTTTCAGGCAGAAATTATTCAGGAAAATATTTTGGTTTTCGCCCCAATTTTAATTCTCTTCCCGAAATATTCCGGTTGAAATTTTCGCCCGGAATTTTTTCGGCCGAAAAAAAAGTAGGTGAATACTAAGCTTAAGAATGAAATAATTGGCTGAGCAGCAATTACAAATGGATACGTCTCCCCAGCATTAGCTATTTGCTCTTTGTTTGCACAATTTAACAAGGGACAAATCCTTTTGTTCTTGAAAAACATTCCATTCCACAAGCTCACACACTAATCAGCCGTCTTACACAATCTCCCTCTCCGCTATTACGACAGTCAAGCAAGGATGCATGCGCCTGCCTAATAAGATTCCAAACCGTGTGTTCCTATACGGCAACCACAAATCTGCCAAAGAGGTCAACCAGCCGTCAACCAGTAGCGCGTATGCACAGGGATGTTTTTTTTTCACGGAGCAATAATTTAGTCTAAAAATATTTTAAACAGCTTGAACAGCTAAATTACTCGAGAGAGAGCAAGCGAGAGAGAGATTGCAACGACATTTTATTAGCCGTAAAGGCCGGATTTGAGCCACGAAGCAGCTTTTACACGCTCCGACAATAATGTTTCGAAATTGTTGTGATCCACAGAGTTGCCACC